CCCCTGATTTTCTAGCGACTACACCCAGCGATACAAATCCTTTGCATAGGGGAGTGGTGCTAGGAAGCCTAGCCAGTGGTGTGTTCTTATGCAACGTGAAGTAGCACTTTCGAGGGTAGGGTGGGAACCTCCGGGGACCTCGTCGTCGTGTTTAGGGGCCAATACGTAAGGTAAAAGCGCATAGAACCGAGTTCCAGATCCTCGTAGGTCTGAGGAACAACCTCGACACCCCGCAAAAATCCTTGTTATCCCCATCCTTCTCCTCCTCCCTCATCCTCCTCCTTCTCTTCATCCTCCGTCTGTCAGTCCGTCCCTCCTTCCTTTCCTCCCTCATGCTCTCTCCATTTTCCTCCCTTCCTGCCCCTGCTTGTCTTGAGCAGCAACAGCTCCTCCCCTCCCCCTCCTCTCTTCGATTATCACCCGCTAGGACGGTGCCAGGAAGAAAATGTGGGGGTGGGGGAAAAACATGAAAGAAGAGGACATGGCGGTATCAGAATCGGGGGGGGGGGGGGGAGGAGGAGGAGGTCACCTGAATCCACGACAAGCCTTCATTTTCAGTCCCTTCCGACTCCTGCGAGGGGGTCAAGAGAGCAGCGTTGAGCGCCTCCGGCTACCTCTCTGCTGTCTTCGGCGTCGTCCCCTTCGATCACCTGCGCAAGCTTAAGGGTCTGACCTGCAGCTGGGGCACAGCAGGGGTCACGTGATCGCCTTCCTCTCCTGCACCCTCGTCAGCTCCACTTGTCCCTCCTCTCCTGCCGGTACCTGCTCGCTGCTCTCCTCCTGCCTCCGCTAGAGCCCCTCCCTAGTTCCCCGTAAGCCATTCGCTCCTCCCATGGTCCTATTCCCTCCTCTTACCTGAGCTTCCCCCCTGCGTTGCGCTTCTTCTCCTCTGCTCGAGCATCAGCGTCTGTGATCGCCGCCTATCGCCTCACCTTCTCGATCCCATCCTGACTTCCTTGCTCTATCTCCCAACCAAGCTCATTCAAATCCTTCCGCCTGCATCGCAATGTTAGCATAACGGTAACACTGTCCATTGCTCTGTTCTGCTCTGCTTTCTTCACTGTCTCCCCCCTCCCTCCTCTGGTATACCTTCTTCATCTTGTGTACCCTTCCCTCCCTGTCACCCTTCACCCGTACTACCGTTATCAGCTCTTCTTGGCTCTGCTCTTCTTCCCTTCCCTCGCTCGTTCCTCTCTGCTCTGCTCTGCTCATGCTTCCCACCTTCTGCTCTCCTCTCCGATCATCTCCGATCATCTCCGCTCCTCTCCCCTCCTCCTCTCCTTCCGACCCCTCCCGCTTCCTCGCCTCTTCCTCCATTCTTCTTCCCCGCATACCCCAGTACTGAAGAATTAGTCAACTTTAAAAAGAAATAAAAAATGTTTTTTATTTCTTTCTTTCAAGTTTTACAACCTTGGCGGCCCCCTCGTTCAGGGGCAGGATTAGTTTGGTTTAGCTCACAAGTTTAGATTAGGTTGATCTAAACCTGGCTGTGTCGGTCAACTGGTAGTATTAGGCCCTCATGTGTACCGATGTGTAGGGTGGGGTAGGGGTCATCTTGATAGTGGTAGGGGTGACTCAAGGGGGTAGTAAGCTAGCCAGGATCTTGGCCAAGGACCCGGTTTGAAATGAAATTATGTCAAATTGAGGGGGTACTAATCAACTATTAGGGGGTAGGGGTACAAGATAAGGGGTGCATAGGATAGAGGGTCCAAACCGTTGGTGCCAAAGTGCTATGTGGGGAAAATGCAGGGGGGGGGAGAAGAACTTGAAGGAGGAGGAGGAGGAGCAGGGGGAGGAGGAGGAAGGGAAGGGAAGGGAGGGAAGGGGAGGGAAGGGAAGGGAAGGGAAGGGCAGGGAAGGGAAGGGAGGAGTGCATCACGATGGAAGGATTATGGAGCAGCAGTAGGAGGGGAAGAAGGGAGGGGACTGTCTGAGGTGAGAGGGAGAGGACAGGAGTATGATAAGACTCCCCTTATGCTTTCCTTTGACAGAACGTGACTGATTGACCTGCAAGATGAAGGATCGGCACCTGCGTCTCGGGCAGTCCAACTGAGCGCGTGACTCGAGGGCCGTCAACTCAGCATCGCTGTAGTGATGATCTCTTCGTTGCAGCGCAGTAAACCAGCTCCCGTCGGCCTGCTGAGCTCCTTCGTGCAGCGCCAGGCGTCCAATGGTGATGAGAGTCTCGGGAGGAGGCGATGAGCTGCGGTGCCATGGCTGACGGCTGTCGCTGCAGGAGAGAGGAGCCCCAGCGAGGAGATGTCAGCAGAAGCAGCTGAGTCAGCCAAGGAGGAGCTGGAGGAGGAGAGGAGGGTGCAGGCGCTGAGACGCGGGAGCTCGGGGAGTCTAAGGGATCTGATCCGATCCAAGATGAGGCGAAACTCGGCGAGCACCCGCAACAAGCTCGAGCAGATGCAGCGACTCATGCTCAAGCGCAAGGGAACCACGTTGGCCGACCTGCGCAAGTACACGCTGGAGCTCGAGCGGTTCGCGAAGAAGGAGAGGAGCGGCAGGTCAGAGGACGAAGAGGTGAGAAGCCGAGGGGTGAGGAGAGGCTGAGAGACTGACCGGAAGCTTCCAAGACGCGGGACGAAATGCAGCGAGTGCGAGAGATGCTGGAGGAGATGAAGGACGCGCTGTTCTTCGAGTCCTTGACCGAGAGCCAGATGGCGGTGCTCATGTCTGACTGCGCGTTCAAGCAGTACGAGCCCGGGGAGGTGGTGGTGAGGGAGAAGGAGCGATGCCTGGCTCTCTTTGTCCTCGTGCAGGGGGGCATCGGGGAGTACAAGGGCATCGAAGAGCTCGGGGCTTCTCCCATAGCCGACCCGATCCGATTGTACTCCAAGAGGGTCAAGCTGCTCGACCAGCCCCTCGATCAGTTCTGCAGCCTCTCCCTCTTCCTCGGCAGCCCCTCCAAGGCAACCTACGCCGCCGTCTACCCCTCGCAAGTCTTCAAGATCCCGGCTTCTGCCATACAGCCGCTCATCATCAACGACCCCGCCTTCGTCAAGAAGGTAGCTAACTTCCTCCTCTCCGACCCAGACCTCGAGCACAGCAACCTCTCCAATATGGGCTTGACCACCAGGTGCTAGCACTCTTCTTCCCCTGCTTCTTTTTCTCCTTCCCCTGCTGCTGCTGCTGCTGCTTCCCCCCCCCCAAGTTTGAAGCATATACTGCTCATGCTACGCTTTTGTCTTCGCTATCCTACGCCTTCTTTCATAGCGTACAGAGCTTTACCTGACTTGA